TGAAACAGCCAAGTTCTGAGGCAAATCAAGGAGACTAGGAAGGTGGGTTCTTGGGAGAAGGTGCGCTCAGCCGTCACCTTTCCTAAGTCCCACTCACCCAGGGCTTAGCAGAACTCCGACCCACAGAGGCTCAGCCCCTTACAGCCTTTGAGCTAATCCTGACCAAGCCACACCAAAAAGGAATAAACAGGACAATCAGTGATGGCCACCTGGATTAGTCCTGCATCTCTAACCCTGCTATCTGGTGTAATTCTAGCCACCAAAGTTGGTTAGGTCTGCATCAGGTGATTCAGTCTAAACATCCAAGCTATGGTCTTATTTCTTGATTTACATTCAGTTCCCTTTTGGATTGGCTGAGGCCCTGACATCCCACCCAGCTTTGTAAGCTCCCTCTTGCAAGGGCTAAACATGCTAAGTCACTGGACTATATCCTGCTCTAAAATGGCCAAGCCACTGTCATTTGCCTTGACTCTGAAGACCACCACCAACTCAGATGGCGTTTAACCTTCTTCTTGCCTTCACAATTATCCACATGCACAAGACACTTTCATCAGTAGCATCTCTCATCTTAAAAAATGATTCACAGCAAACATGAGGTTTCAGAATCATTACAGGAGAGGGGACGTGGAAAGTAAGGAAACAGTGGTCTAGAAACTTTTGCTGCCACTCCTCACCCATCAAAACGAACTCCTGAGGCCCAGCCATGTGCCACACTGCACAAATTATAGAAATAGTTAAGAGGCGAATAGAGTACTGAATTATTCTCTTTTGGGGAGAGGGAAAGAGGGAGATCTTCTGAAGGGAAGATAATGAGAATAGCCTGATAGACAAAATATATTTTAAAAAGCTTTGTTTCCCTGTTGATACCAAATACAGACCAAACAGTAATATCAAACAGGGACCAAGACAGACACACAGAACTTCTGGGAGCACCTCCTCTCACAGTAGCGGCTCTAACCATGTTATTTCACTTAACTCTCACACACATCCGAAAGAGCTACGATTACTCCATTTTACAGGTGAGGAAGCTAAGGAGAAAAAGTTTACATAACTTATCCAAGGTCACACAATTAGGAAATAAGGGAAGAAGGACCAAAACCTCAAATGTGTCACACTCCATGGTCTGTATTTAAACTTGCATGATTCTAAAGTCCACACCTGAACTGTTACAGGAAACAGACTCAACGATCAGCCAGCCATGAGGCATATGTACCTTTACTAAAGAAAAACAAACCAGAACGCAACAACGAAACAAATTACACTTGATAAATTAACTACATTCAATTTTCCAGGTAATTAACATTATTCTCTAATTATGAAGTCTTCAAATTTCTTATATCTCACAAACACAAAATCTGAAGTTTTAAAGGCGTTGTTCTCTTCTAATTTCCTGAAAATTTGTGTTTAAACAGTTGCCTAATAAAAGTGAAATATATTATCACTAATCTTAGAACCGACACTTAGATTAAGTAAGCACTCTTAGAACACTGTTAATTTTGGATAACTGTGACATCACAATTTCTATATGATAGAAAACCCATAGAAAAAATATTTTTTAAACATAACATAAAAAGAATGTTAGCGGGGCGAGCCCCATGGCCTGGTGGTTAAATTCATGTGCTCCACTTCAGCAGCCCAGGTTTGCAGGTTTGGATCCCAGGTGCAGACCTACACCATTCGTCAGCCATGCTGTGGCAGTGACCCACATGTAAAGTGGAGGAGGACTGGCACAGATATTAGCTCAGGGCTAATCTTCCTCAGCAAAAAACAAAAACAAAAACAAAAAAACCCATAAAAAAACAAAAAAACCACATTAGCTACTTCTGAGAGTATTTCCATGGTCGACTTATTACATGAAAATGCAGTAAAGAAAGAGAGAAAGAACTTTTATTGCTCATTATGGGATACTTAATAAAAACTACCTCTAACATTATATGGACAATAGGATTTAATTTATTAAAATCAGCTCATATAAACTCTTCAGGGACACATCTATGCTATAAAACAAACAGGCCAGAAACATAATACAGAATGCCTTTGAATATATCATGTTATTATATACATTAAAAACCCCAGAATAGCCCAAATTACCAAAAACTAGTTACTTGTTTTAACATAAAGAGAAATTTGGGAAGAACCACAGCCATCATCTTCTATCTAGTTCAGGGATCTGCCCAGCATTCCTTCAAAGATTTTTGTCTTACTGATTATCTCAACAGAGAACAATGCTCAGAACCAGAACAAAAAGAATCAGGATCCTCTCTGAAAACTATTCTTAGAAACAATGTTTTCTTAACAGCCTATGCTTTCTTGTTTTCTTTAGTCTACCAGTAACTCTGATGTCAGACAGACCTGGATTCTAATTAAGACTTGCTAAACCTGTTTTCTCAAATGGAAATAATATTTATAATTCGTAGGTCAAAAGGTAAGGCATAAAAAGATAATATACACAAATATATACAAAGCACTAAACATGGTACTTGGTGCATGGTACTCAATAAACAGCTGACAATATGACTTTATTTTATCTCAACTTTTAAACATGATTTCATTCAAGGAAATGTCTATTCAAAATAACGCAACTCATCTAAATAGGCTATTACTATAAGGTTCAATTACATGGCTTGAAAATATTTTCATTTATAGGCCACCGGACCTTAAACGGAGAAGAGTTGGCTTCCAAGTAAGATCTTCGCAGGTGTTGGGAAAACCAGGGAAAAAACAAGGCAGTGAATGTTTCAACTCTATTCAAAGAATTTTTCTACTGATTTCACTCTTTACAGACATTTCTCTGGCTCTCCCTGCACAGAGGACTATTTCAGAACTCTTCTACCACAATGGGGCCCTCTGCAAGCATTATACATTACTATACTTATTATGATATATATTATACTTACTATATTTAACACAAAAGTTATTAATTTTACAGAACACGACTGGTGACAGCCTTCATTCTAACCTTATCTGCCTGAGGAAAACAATTTTCAGTCTTAAAGTAAACCTGAGTAAGAACGAGGATGGTTTTAAAATCTGGGTTTCTCAATTCCAGAAGACAAAAGTGATGGCAAGAGGAACACAGGCTTCCAAGGTCTGAGAGCGTGACTGCCAGTGAGCCCTGACCTTGCTGCTTCGACATTTACAGCTAGCGGCATTTCCAAGTGAAGCCCACGACGCTGGCAACCTGAAGACATCAAAGAGCGGACGTCAAGATACCACTGCTCTAAAAACAATCACGAATGAAGCGGCTGCATCCTATTCGGCAACTGCCAGGGGATTTCAAAGAAGGAATACTTCTAGTTCAGATTATATGAAGAACCGGAGCAAAAGGGGATTTCATAAAACTTAACAGAAATGTTCCACAATACTATCAATAATAGACTTTTATATTGACAACATAATTTAGAAATACTTTCTATATTATGGACGGTCTGAAGAGACCTAGACCCATCAAAGGAAAAATACGATGACGTCCTCAGAATGCATTCTTGGTTGAGAGAGAGTTCAGAAAGATGGCCTCATCGAAGCAAGAATCACCTAAGGGGTTATTCAAGTCGAGAGATGTCTTAATGGTATAATATGCCTAATACCTTTATATTCCTGCTAAGAAAAAAGAGGCTAATTTTTATTAAATTTAGCATATTATTGACAACTAAGTATGCACCTGTTGAAAAAAGACCATCTTCAAAAATAAAATGTTGAAACCCACTGTGGAGGTATTTCACTCTATTCCTTCTGAAAACTCTAGACCTGCCCAGCACCCTGTGCCATACATACAACTTTTCTAAAAACCACTGGGTCCATTACAAATGCTTTTTTTCTATATCCCCACTCTGCTTCTTATTCTTATTCATTTCTAAACTTTCTTCCTGACAAACAACTCAAGAAAAAAAGCCAAAACACTACTCACTTCAAATCTTTACGCTCCCATCTCCATCCATTTATTTAAATACGCACACGTACATATCACAAAACTCGCTTTTAGGCAGCTTTTCCTCAACACCTAGAATCAAGGCAAAGGGGACCCTTGCCCTTTCTAATCCCTAAACAACCCCCCACTCCTGAGCATCTGTATCTACGGCAAACAAAGCTAAAATGTAAGACAACAGAAACTTACGAAGGTAACCAAAGATATACATGTAACTCTTACAGCTCCTTCCAGTCTCGAATCCTGGCCAACAAAGGGCACGTCTGTTCTGTACACCGAATGCTGCAGCGTCTCTTGCACCGTACATAAACATTAACTAACCCAAGCTGATCCTCAATTCACAGCATTCTACTAGACTTTTCACAGAACTCTGCATTTAAAAAAAAAAAATCTAAATTCCAGTTTGAACTGGGATTTAAGCATTCAATTATATTGTTACTATATAGTCTAAAACAGACAGATATTAAGTATTTACATAGCAACTTTTGCCTGTGGTGGCTCTAAGCATGTTTTAATTGCTAAGGTTTACTTTGCTATTGAAAGATTACTGGGTGGCCACCTTTTTAACCCGCATATTACAGGTAGAGACACCAAGGTATAGAGGTTAAGTGGCTTCTACAAACTAATGTCATGAGTCATCATAAGAGTTTAGATCTTCCGACTTCTACTCCTGTGCCTGCTGTTCACCATGAATCTTTACATTAATTTCTAAGAGCACAGAAGGAACTCACTAAAAATACCAACAAGAATTTGTGGGCATTTACTTTTTAATTAATAGTTACTTAAAAAGACTTGCCTTTGAAAGGTGGGAAAGTTTCCTTCAAAAGCTGCAGTTATCTCTATTTGCATTGTAAAAATCATTTTTAAAAAATCTTAAAAGCTGAGGAGTTCATCACCTCCTACCATACACAATAATTGCTAGTTCTTCCAAAAAAGGTGTGTGTTTAATGACACCAGATCCTAAACTGTCTCTCCTTCTACTTTTACCTCCAGTAACACTTTGAATAGGAAACAACACTTTTTTGCCTTGGTGTTTCCCTTATGTACAACAGATACAAAAAAACTCAATTCCTACCTGACACAGACAATGTAAAGAAGAATTTACTGTTTGTGGACTGCTTTGAGATTCCAGAATGAAACACATAATCCAGGCGATCTTCAACCCTAGAATAAAGGCAAACTTCACTGAAAGTAATAGTTTCAGCAGATGCCTTCAAAATAAGATACTATACCATTATTCATACAGAGATGTTTTATGTAAGCCAAATCTTGACCACAACAAAATGGGAGGAAAAACTTCCAAAACTGTTTAGAAAGTTCTTCTGTCCAATTCAAAAATTTAATACTTCTGTTTCACATATCTGTCGTTCATTAAGCACGATAATTCTACTAAGTTAGTAGAAACTGTATGCACTTATTAACGAGAACAGAGACCCTCAAGAAAATGATGCAATCAACTGCAATTGTAAATATACAAAACATCAAGTTAATAATGAATTTTGTAAAATAAAATTTGTTAAATTTCATTTAAGGTTAGTTCTTGGACACCCATATTTTCCGGAGGACAACAAAATTTCCAAGTTTTAACCTTATGTTCGTAGGTCAGCCTTTAATAAATCTTAACCCTTAATACTTTCATCAAGTCTGTACTCAAGTTGCTTCTCCCGGCGTGTCACGTAAACACAATTCTTAAAAATTAAAGCTTCAATCAGTAAGGGTACCAGGTTTATTACCACTGTCACTCTTTTGATGATATTTCCAATCAGGGAAGAAAGAAGATGAGGTTTATTAAACTGGAAGCTAAACTAAGAATACTGGGTGGATACCTAGCTTAGGCAGAAAGCAGAAGAGACTGGAACTCTTCAGGGATTTAATAAAATGTCAAACGGACTGAAGTCAAGTGGCTCGATCTATGCATATAGAAAGAACGGTTTTAGAGAAAAACAAAACAAGATCAGATACAAGAAATGGGATGAGGATGCAAAAGGACGAGAGGACGGGGCCATCAGCCGGAAAGCGACGAGGCGGGGGACCAAGAGAGGCAGGAGGCCTCCGAGGGCAAGGTGGGGCGCAGGAGGAACTCCAGCGCAAAGCGATGCTGAAGCGCACACACCAGAAACCAACAAAAGAACCAAGACGAAGGACCCAAGGACGAAAACGAGAAGGAACGACGGCCAAGAAGAGGTGACAGAGGCCAGGGCGAGAACCGGGGGCCGAGGTCGGGGCGTCGGGAGGGACCAGCGGGGATGCTCCGTGCGGGAAGCCGCGCAGGGTGAGGGGCCGCGGCGGGCGCGGGGCACGTGGGGCGCGGGAGGGCGGCCGCAGCGCTCCGGGAGGGGCCGGGCCGGGTCGGGCGGGGATGCAGCCCGGGCCGCGGGCGCGAGGGCGGGGCGGGCTGCGGGAGCCCGGGTCGCACCAGGGGCGCCGACAGCCCTGCCGCCGACCCCCATGGGCGGGGCCGGGTTCGGGCGCCGACGGGGCAGCGGGCGTGCGCGGCGAGGAGGCGGCGGCCGCTTCCTGCGCCCGTGGGAACGGGGACGAGGGGGGCGCGGGGGGCGCGAGCCGGGGACGCAGGGGACAGCGGGCTCACCTCTCCCCGGCGCGGCCCCGTCCGCCGCCTGTAGGGCGCGGGCGCCCGCGGTCCTGCTGGAAGAAGACGGCCCGGCCCGGCTCAGCACCATCCCGCCGCGGCCGCTCACATAGCCATCGGGCGCCCGCACCCGCCGCCGCCGCCGCCGCCGCGGAGCCGCTCGTCAACGCCGCTCGGCGCCCGGCCCAGCGCGCCCGCGAGCATGCGCAGTGCGCCCACCGGCGCCGGGCCGGCCGCGCTACCTGCGCTCCTCAGGTCCCGCGGCCCCGCCCCCGCGCCTGTCCCCTCCCCTCTCGCGGCCGGGCCCCGCCTCCGGGCCCGGCGCCCCGCCCCTCGGCCTCTTCAGAGCCCCTCAGCCGCCGCTCCGGCCCCAGCGCCGACCGAGATTTCCAGGGGTTTGTCCGCCCGGTCGGGCTCGCGCCCCAAGTTCCCGCGAGAACGGGAGGTTTGCGTCAATCCCGAGCGCGAGCCCGGTGGGAGCGCCCGCTGCGGGTTAGGGAGCCGGCCGGCTGCGCGGTCGGCGCCGAGCTAGGGCGCCCGAAGAGGGCCAAAAGAGCGCGCGCTGAGCCCTCTCCGGCCGCCGCCGGCCCGCGCGCGCCTCGGGACGGGAGCGAGGGTGCTGTGCGTCGGCGCCGGCCCCGCCGCCCGCGCACGGGGGTCGCGGGTCTGGAGAGATGCTGCTCTGGCTCCCGCTCGGTTCCCGACGCCCAGACACGCGAGGACGGGCGGCCCGGTGGCGTCCTGCGCGCTCGGATTCCGGGAGCAGGAGCCCGCGCTCGGGACGGCCGTGGGGGACGGCGGTGCGGCGACGTGCCCCGCTCACCCCGGGTCCTGGCGCTGACCGGCGGCACGTCTGGTGGTGCGCAGAGCTCAGCGCGTTGCTCGAGCGCAGTCAGCGGAGGAAGGAGACGCGGCTGCGGCGTGTGCGTCCAAAGGCATTGGGACGCGGACGGCGGTGATGCTTGTACGACACGAGTGCGCTTATGGCCCCGAACTGTGCTCCTAAAAATGGTTAAAATGGTAGATTTTATGTGATGTATGTTTTACCACAATAAAAATGATTTGGAAAGAAACAGCTTTGTGCACTCATTTGGAAGTAGTGGCGATGCCTTGTAGTTTAGGCCATTTAGGGAGCAGGTTTTGAATATAACTTAGCCTTTGCTTTTTCTTCTCCTTAGTCTGTATTTTTAACGTGATTCTAAGTGCCATGTTGTCCTATGATAACCAGTCTATTGGCATTTGCATGAATGGCTTGCTTTCTTGGTTCGTAATAGCCCAAAACCATTTTACTATCCTTTCCTGTAAGGGCCTTTATTGTTTTTTTTGTAATTTGAATTGTAAAATTGAAAGCCTTTTTCTATTCTTTTAGTTCTGTGTCTCTTGGGAAAATATACAAAATATCCAATTCAAATTTCCACATCTATGCCTTCTCTAAAACACACCCTGTGCCCACATTCCTTCCCTGTTACGTGTTCTTTTTATTCAAGTCACATTTTAACACGTCTATTTGCGAGAAAGTACGAATCTTGGAGGATACCAACAGGAATAACACAGTACTTGTGATGCGATGGGTGTAGTGCGGAGATAGATACACAGGGAACTACTGGAGCTCAGAGGAGGAGCATGAATCCAGTTTAGGTTGGGAAAGGTAATAAGTCAGGAAAGACTTCCAGGAGAAAATGATTCTAGAGAGCTAATGAAATGCGAGGGGTGGGGGATAAAAGGGGAAAGGAATCGCTTGAACAAAACTATGCAACGAGAATCTGATCTTTGCACAGAACTAAAACTAAGAGCAATTTGATGCCACAATTTGGGGGTGTGAGGCCAGAGAAGAAGGCAAAGGCCAGATCGTGGTGCCCTGTGAAAGATTTCAGGAAAAGATTAATTCAGCTAATATTTTTGATTACCTATTCAGTGTGTGCCAAGCACTGTACTAGCTACTAGGATTCAACGAAGATTAAGAGTCAGTCCCAACTCTCAGGGAGCTGACGATCTAGTAGCGGGAGACAGGCACCTTAATGTCATTAAGAGTTAAAATTGGGGTAGGCGCATGGTTCTTTGGGAGCCCAGAAGAAGGGCACTTAACCTAGAGATTTAGACGAGACTTTCTGGAAATTATTCATCAGCCGAAAAATATAAAGTAACCTAAAGAAAACTGGAAAAATGGTAATATCTCCTGACATACAGACTTAGAGTGCAGAAAGCATTGATCTAATTGTCAGATTGCCAGGGTTCAAGTTCTAGATTCTGCAGTGTACTGTGTAATCTCGAGAGTCTCCTAACTTCTCTAGGTCTCAAGTTTTCTCTCATAACAAGAGAATCACATTGCATAGTATCTAAGGTCCTTTAGAAATTTCATGATTCTAAATTTACTTCCCATTTATCTCTCCACGTTTTGAGTCAGCCTGTATGCTGCTAATTAACATTTTTGTGTCACATTTAACGTACATTAAGCTAAGTGTTAGGTTATATGTGTCATTTTCTATCCGAGTCATGAGTGCTCAAAGAAGGCAAGGTTTGGAATCCTTTTTATCCTGTGGTTGGTTTACATGATTTGACTTTGGCGTAGAATGTTTTTGAATAGTTACTAAATCTTTCTCACTGGAATATTCCCTTAAACTGCAGATTGTGTTCTCTCTCCCCTACACAGTTACACAGTATTGGCTGAGCTAAAGATTGAGACACTAGGAGAAATGAATATTGTAAATTTGGAAATAGCCCTGTGGAAAAATGTCTGTATTTGTCCGTTGCTAGACATTAATTCAATAGGCAAATAAGCCTGCTTTTTCCTTCCCAGACTTTATAATTTTTAAACTATGCCTGTTGCTGTAGGTAGGTAACTATCAACTTTAAAATTTTAAATTAAAAAAAAGATATAGTCAAAATTATTCACAACGTTTTCCAAGAATGTGATTCTTTTTGGCATTTTATACAGGAAATTCTGAATTCCTTTTTTTATCTTTTTATTTTTTGGTAAGAATCGGAGTGTTGTCTAATAAATAATTATAATATTAACAAAATACTAACGCCCCTTCTGGGGCAGTCACTCTTGTCTCCATGCAAAGTAAAGGATTAATCATTTGCAGACACCTGGGTGAGTGCCCACAGTACTCAAGGGTAAGGTTTTATTTTAAAGGTTATATAATCTTAACAACAAATATGAGATGGAGCAAAACCAAGTTTCTTTATAGGGCTTCCTTCACAGGTTACTAATAGCTACAAACCAGAAGGGCAAATGTGTTACTTCATAACTTAATGTTGTAACATTGTTTCATGACTTAATAGCCATGGCTTTTCTGGAGGAACCACCAGATAAAACTCAGTTACCAGTATTTTCTTCCTGGTAATGTAATAACAGACCTTCAAAAACTTTTCTTTCCTCTTTTTTTTTTATAGCTGTTAATGTTGCTTGCTTCAGAGAGGGAAACCAGGATGCTGGGTGCTTCCTGAGGAGAGGGAAAGAAGACTTTTTCTTGTATGTTCTTGCGAGTTTGAACCTAGTGATTGTATTAAAGGAAAAAATATTTGAATCCATGTAAAATGAATGAAAATTTTAAAATGCATATAGCATAGCCTTTAATAATGATATAAAGAAAAAAAAACCCTGATAGCTACATAATTGATTGAACTGCAAACAGGTTTTTGCTATGCAGTGTGAAAGGGGTAGTCAAGCAGTGATGTCTTGGTTGTGACTCAGCTGCTCTGGATTCCTCAAAGACAGAGTGTCTGCTTGGATCATTCAGAGAGAACCTGTCAGACAGAAGACATTCCTCCCACCACCATCCTGCTGAATCATTCCTGTGAAGTATAATTATCTAGTATCAAGTGACAGTAATGAAATGATTTCTGAATCATTCTCTTCCTTACATGCTTGGAGCTCACCATGGTGGGGTTTTTAAATAATATTTATACTAGTTACCATCTGATCTATGATAGCATACATGTTAGGGCACTATCTTACTCTTCTCATGACTCACAGGTTCCTATCTTGAGTCCTGATCTTTAAGCCAACTCTAGACACATGGCTTCTGCTTCCTATCAGCCCTGTTGCTTAGCTGTCCTGCTGACTCCTCTTAACATATTCCACACTAGTCTCCTCCTGCTTGCCTTTCCCTGTCACATCCAGCTCCATCTCCCTCCGAACCTTCTAGTTTCTGTTAACGACCATCCTTTCCCCCATTTACCTAAACTCAGAACCTCACAGCCATGTTAGTAACTTCACGAATTGAGCACATAACAAAAATTTGAAATATCTTTCCAATATCTACGACCTCACACATTCTGCATAACTTTCTTTTCTAGCTTCCTGATCTGTAATATGGATATCATAATAAGAAGCTACTTCATGAGGATGTTGTGAAATTATTACAAAGATCTTTTATCAAAAAGAAACGGTACATGTTTTTGATTACAGACATGAATCACTTAACAACGGGACACTTTCTAAGAAACTTATCGTTAAACGATTGTGTCTGTGCAACCATGGTAGAGTGTACTTACAGAGACCTAGATGGTGTAGCTACTATACACCTAGGTTATACGGTATTAAGGGACCACTGTCATATATGCAGTCTGTTGTTGAAAAAAACATCCTTATGCTGGCATCATTGTATTCCTGTCACTGGCAAGAGTAATTAGAAG